ACGCAGCCGTACGATTTGCCATGATCACATCCACAACGTCGATCAGCACCGTCCATTCCGCCTCCCAGCCCGGATGGCCCGACCCCCCCCCCCCTGCTGCTGCTCCCACCCCCCCTCCCCCACTCTGCAACGCCGTTAGTAATGCGGTAACCGCATGGGTCAGCTGGGAAGGATTGACCGTCGGTGGTAGTGTAACAGGCTCGGAACCTTCGCCGGACATGCCTTTCTGCTTCGGCTTTGGCTTCGAAGCAGCTTCCGAAGCTGCAGCCGCTGCAGCAGCCGTGGCTTGGAGGACGTTCAGGAGGTTGTTACCGAACAGGAGGTGGAGGTAGATTCGGGCAAGAGGCACGTTCCGAGGCAGAAGGTCCAGGGTTTGCCGAACCTGCTCTAGTTGCCGGGCCTCTTCGGGCTGAATAGGAGGAAAAGATGGGATTAGAGAAGGAGCAGGAGCAGGAGTGGGAGCAGTAACAATAGCAGGAGCGGCAACACCATCAGGGACAACAGGTGACAGCAGCGCCAGGGGCGATAAAGCAGCAGCGCGAGAAATGACCGACGGAGCAGAGCTGATTCCCAGACACACGTTGAGGAAAGAAAAGTCGGAATTGGGGGGCCCTAGGAGGAACGAGAGAGCCTGTTGCACCTGAGGGGGGTATTCCGAGGTGAGGGGAGGTGGTGGGGAGGAAAGATGGCTGGGTGATGGTGTGAGGGAAGGCGAGGAGGAGGAGGGGAAGAGAGGGTGGAGAGGCGGGAGGAGGTGGTGGAGGAGTGAGTGTGATTGAGCCCAACGGAGGAGAGAAGGGATGGAGAGAGGGGGGTGGTGAGGAGGGACGGAAGAGTCCAGAGAAGGAGCGGTGAAAGGATAAGAACCTGAAGGGCCAGCAGAGGCTGAAGGATCAAGAGCAGTGGGAGTGTGAGCAGCAGAGGGAGAGTGGGCGGCAGCAAAAGGATGAGCAGCAGCAAGAGCGAGGGCCCATTGAACAGCGTCCCTCACATGCAGGTGCCTCCCGCTCCTCACTGCCTCCCTCACTGCTGCACTCGCTGCTGCTACTGCAAGCTCCGCAGCACTGCTTTCCACATCCATGCAAACCGCACCATCAGCGCCAGCAGCAGCAGCAGCAGCAGCAGCATTATCAGCACCGGCTGCAACAGCTGCGAGAGAGGGCGACACTACATGATCTCTAGAGTGCAGCAAGGAGCACAGGGAGCTACACATGAGCCCATACACTGCAGCACCAGCGCCGCCCATTGCCTGCTTGGAATCAGCAGTGCCGCCCATTGTCAGGGTGTTGGCCTGCTGCTCCTGCAGGCTGGGCGGCTCCGTTTGGCAGTACTGGAGGGAGAAGAGAGATCGGAAGAAGGCGAATCGGCAGTATGCAGCTGCCTTCGCTCCTGCTACAGCTGCCGCTACAGCTGCTTCTGCTTCGGCTGCTGCTGCTGCTGCCTCTGCTTCTGCTGCTAGCGCTGCTTTTCCTTTTTTCCCTCTCCCTCTTCCTCTCCCTTGCCCTTTCGCCCTCTTCCCACCCCTCCCCCTCCCTCGTCCTCCACTCCCCCCTCTCTCATCCTCTATGCCCTCTTCCCCTCCATCTCCCTCCTCCGCCTTTCCTCCCTCCTTCCTTTCCTCCTCTGTTCCATCACCAAAAAGCGCCTTCTCTGCTCGTTCCCACACTCTCACTCCCTCCCTCACTCCCTCTGCCCCCCCAGTTTCTGCCAGCGCCCACACACACACCACCACTAGCTCAACCAGCATCTCATACTCCTTATAAGCATCTCCCATACTAAGTCCCTTGTTAAAGTCACTCACATCCTCGCCTTCTCCCCATAACAGCTCCTTCAAAACACTACCGACAGCTTCTAAAGTGGCGGCATATACAGAAGAGGGTACCAAATCAGACTGTAGAGGGGATGAAACAGGAGGAGGACCAACAGCACCTGAAGCAACACCTGAGGAAACACCTAGCTGTCTGTTGTAGGCTGCATATCGTACCAGGGAGGTTGCCACAGCAACACGTGCCAACAGCAACCCCTCGCCCTCTCGCCCTCCCTCTGTCTCTTTCCCTCTTCCCTTCTCTCCTTGCAGCCTCTCCCCTGCCCCTTCCATTGCCTTCATCGCAAGAAACTTCCTTGCAGCTTCCAGAGCAGCCCCGACCATTTGCTCTCCCTCAGGCAACACCCACCCCACATGCTGACAACCTGCCGCCCAGGGCATGTCCACCAGCGGGATCAAATCCTGCCGGAATCCGATCTTGGCTGCTACAGTGTCAGGGAAGCGGCCGGCGGAGAGGAGGTGGGCGGCAGAGAGGAAAAAGACGGCAGCATCAAGTGGCGTGAGGCAGGATAGTAGTGCCTCTGCTGCTGCTGCTGCTGGTGCTGCTGCCGCTGGTGCTGCCGCTGTTGGTGCTGCTGCCATTTTTCCTCCATTAATTTCTCCTTCCTCCGCTGCCCCTCCTCCCCGTCCCTTGCTTCCCTCCTCCTCACCTCCCTCCCTCTCCACCGCACTCACCACCATCCCAACCCATTCCCACACCTTCCTCCCCTCACCGCCCTCCCCCCACACCAGCAGCAGCTGCAGGGCACAGTCAAGCGCCTCTGCACTGCGTTGACTCGCGTTGACCGGGTCAACCACAGGCGGAGTGGACATGGGGGGAGGGAGTTGACTCAATAGACCCGAGAGAGACACCCCTTGGGGGGTAGCGGCCGAGGAAACGCGGGATGATTGCGCGGGGGCGGCATTAGGGTTTGATAAGCCGAGAGATGAGCGCAGGTGGGGGGTTATTGAGTCTAGTGCTGCTCCTTTCTCCTGCATCTCCGCTGCTGCATCGGATCCCAAGGGGACGAGGAGGAGGAGAGGAGGAGGCGGAAGGGGAGGAGAGGGAGGGGTGTGGGCTAGAGAGGGGAGTGAGGGGGAGGGGACGTGTGAGGGGAGGAGCGGGCAGTGGGAGAGGAGGAGGAGGGTGTTGGTCCAGGTATCTGCTGCTGCGGTGCAGGAGATTTGTGCTGATGCCTTGTGCCATTGCAGCTGATGCCACGTGGGCAGGTAGAGGGACTGTGGGCAGGAGAGAGAATGGGCAGGGAAGCAGGGAGAAGAGAGAAGAAGATGGGGGGAAGGGGAGGAGGGGGGTTGGTGAGTGCGGTTAGATGTTTGCGCAGGGAGGGACACATCACACTCTCACTTGTGGCCCACACCCTCTCCCCTCTCTCACCCAGAGCTTCCCCCTTGAACCCACTTTTTTACCCCCCTCCCTTCTGTCCTCCCGACAACCCACACTCACACAGCACTGCACCAGGGCTGCCATGTGCTCCTTGACTTCAAACTCCCTCCGTGTTGTGGCAGCGACTAGGAATTCACTCCAGCACCCCTCACTCACACAACAGGCATCACCCATCACCATACCACCCACTCACACAGCACTGCACCAGGGCTGCCATGTGCTCCTTGAGCTCAAACTCCCTGCGAATCTTTGCCATGCGGAAGTAGAGCCACACACACTCTTCCCTTTTTTACAACCACCCTTTCTCAACACGCAATCACACAACGGACCCCACCCCACCCACTCACACAGCACTGCACCAGAGCTGCCATCTGCTCCTTGACTTCAAACTCCCTCCGAATGCGCGCCATGCAGTAAAGCCACGGCAGGTGCAGCAGCGCGGGGAGGAGGGCGAAGAGGCGGAAGAAGACGTGCCACGTGCTGCTGCTGCCTGGCTGGTGGTACAGGAAATGCGCTAGCGAGGCGATGACCTGACGAGGAGGGTGGGACGGGTTAGACGGAAAATACTTGGTTGAGTCACCTAGGAACGCATCTGCTGTTGCTCCCTGGCTGGTGGTACAGGAAATGTGCTAGCGTGGCGATGACCTGACGGGGAGGGATGGGAGGACCAGAGACGGGCTTTGAGTCAACGACTTGAATCTCTCTCTGCTATCTGCAGCAGGACGGGGAGGAGCGGGAGAGGACGGCAAAGAGGCGGAAGAAGACGTGCCACGTGCTGTTGCTCCCTGGCTGGTGGTACAGGAAATGTGCTAGCGAGGCGATGACCTGACGGGGAGGGATGGGAGGACCAGAGACGGGCTTTGAGTCAACGACTTGAATCTCTCTCTGCTATCTGCAGCAGGACGGGGAGGAGCGGGAGAGGACGGCAAAGAGGCGGAAGAAGACGTGCCACGTGCTGTTGCTCCCTGGCTGGTGGTACAGGAAATGCGCTAGCGAGGCGATGACCTGAAGGGGAAGGAGGGACACAGGAGAGAGCGTGTGAGGGGAGGCGGCGGGGGCATGCGGAAGTAAAGCCAGGGGAGGTGCAGCAACGCGGAGAGGCAATGACCTGCCAGGGAGGGAGGGACGCGTAAGTTGGAACACAAGAGGAAGTGTATGAGGGGAAGAGAGGGGTCTAACAGTCGAACTGGGGGGGGGGGGGGAGGAGGGGGGCAGCTGGGGGGTGTTTTTGAGACGTCTCAAAAACACCTGACGGGGAGGGTGGGACGCGTAAGTTGGAACACAAGAGGAAGTGTATGAGAGGAAGAGAGGGGTCATTCAGCCGAACTGGAGGGGGGGGGAGGGGGCAGCTGGGGGGTAGATTTGGGAATGACTTACTGTTTCCAGGGTAGCGATGGTGGGTTGCGGCGAACAAGCAGCAAAGAGCAGCTGCCCCACTCCCTTCAAGGAAGGGTCGATCTGACAGAGGTGGATGAAGGACAGGGGCTGGCTTGGCATGGGCAGCAGGGGTAACTGCTTGAAAGGAAAGACTTACTGTTTCTAAAGTGGCAGCGGTTGGTTCAGGCGCACACGCAGCGAAGAGCAGCCGTCCCGTTCCCTTCAGTTGCGAGTCGATCTGACTCAGGTGGATGAAGCCCAGGGGCTGGCCTGGCATGGGCATCTGAGGGGTACACTGTACAACTTGTAATAAGTCGATTTTTGAGTCGACTCAAAAATCGACTTATCACACACGGCATCTGAGGGGTACACTGTACAACTTGCAACAACGACTTACAGTTTCCAAAGAGGCAGCGGTGGGTTCCGGCGCACAGACAGCAAAGAGCAGCCGCCCCACTCCCTTCAGAGACGGGTCGATCCGATTCAGGTGGATAAAGGACAGGGGCTGGCCTGGCATGGGCAGCAGGGGCAACTGCTTAAAGGCAAAGAGGAGCGCGAGATCAGAGTGAGAGAGAGGCGAGAGGTAGGGGGATTGAGAAGCTGTCTTGTCTTCTTGCTCTTTCGACACGGATCTCCCTGCCACGTCTGTATTTGAGTCTCTCTTTCCCCCTGTCTCCCCCTCGGGCTGTTTACATTCCTCGTTCCTCTTTCTCCCCGCTTCTCCCTTCTCCTCTTCCTTCCCCTTCCCTTCCTCCTCTTCCTGCCCCTTCCCCTTCCCCGCCTTCCCTTTTTCGTCCCCGTCCTGCTTCCTTTCCTCTTCCTCCTCTCCCTCTTCCACGGTAACCCCCTCAGCCGTCCCCTCCCCTTCCACACGCCCCCTCTTCTCCCATTCCCGCACTTTTCTTGACCAATAGGACTGCTCCACGTGGCACCTCTCACCAATCACAGGACAGCTTTCACCGCCCCAGAAATCCACCGTTCCAGAAAGGAGCAGAGAGAGGGGAAGGTGCAGTGGCAACCTCTCTTCCTCCCTCACTCCCTCTCTCACTCCCTCTATCACACCTCCACATTCCCTCTCAACCCCACTCTCTCTCGTTTCTTCAAAAAACCCCTCCACACCACTCACCCTATCCCACACGCTCATCCTGCCCCCCTTACCAATCTTATCTCCCTCATCGCCCTTCCCTCCCTCCTTACTCCTCTTCTCCCCACTCCCTCCTGCCCCTGCCACTCCCCTCCCTCCCTCTACTCCCACTCCTGCTCCTCCTCCTCCTCCTCCTCCTCCTCCTCCTCCTCCTCCCCATCTCCCCCCAACCCCCCCGCTCCTAGCAGCAGCAGCTGAAGCAGAGGACACTTCAGCAGCAGAAGCCAAAACCTCCGATAAAACCCGTCGGGCCTTTAACACCTTCCCGCCGAGCCCTGATTCGCCGAGAGCCGTTTCCGGGCAGATTGGGGTGTATGTGATATGTTTGCTGGGCAGCCAAGTGTCTTTTGGAAAAGGGAGTGGGAGGAGGTACGGGGGAAAGGTAGGGGAGGGGGGTGGCTGGCGTTTCTTACCAGGCAATGGGATCAGGTGGTGGGGTTGAAGATGGGGCTTTAAGATGGATGCTCGGAGGAGCGACACCACTGAGTGGTTTCCTTCTAACGCAGACCCTTGTATTGCATCAGCTTGTAACGGATCTGCTTCTTGGATGGACCCTGCTGGTGGTTTAACACTCTGTGCTGCTTCTGCCGCCCTCACTTTTCCTTCAGTACCTGCTGTCCCCACTTCTGCTGCTGCTGTTGCTGCTGCTTCTGCCACACTCTCTGCGTACACGTTATCAGCAACCTTTTCAGCATCGTCCCTCACAACCCTGACCACGTCAGCGAAGCGCACAGGGTGGGGCAGCAGGTGCTGCAGGCGACACTTGGCGTCCACGCATTGGCCGCGCAGCTGGGCGGCGCAGATCACACGGTGCGGATCGATCGATGCCTCGTGGACTCGCAAGGCCCGAGAGGAAAGTGGGGAAGGGGGCGGATGGGGTGATGGGCCTCGCTCGGGCTGCTGCTGCTGCAGCTGCAGCTGCTGCTGCTGTTGTTGACTCTGTTGACTTTGCTGACTCTGCCCTTGATCCACTCTGTGTCCCTCCTGCCCCTCCTTCCTTTCCTTCTCTTCCTTCCCTTCCTGCTGCCTCTCCTGCCCCTCCTCCTTCTCCTCCTCCTGCCCCTCCTGCCCCTCCTCCTGCCCCTCCTCGCCGCACTCCACCACAGCCCCCCATCGAGCCATGAACACAGGGGAGTGCCGGTAGCACCGGAACATCACCAGCGGACTCTCATACTCATCCACACTCCTCTCCCTCGCCCCTCCCTCCAACACTCCTCTCGCTCTCACCCGGACCCGCTCCCGCACCCTCTCTTGCACTCCTTCCCCAGTCACCCCCCTAGCTCCGCGTTTATGGTTCTCACCCCCCTCCGCACCCCCCTTTTTCCTCTTTGCCTCCTCTTTTTTACCACTCTCCCTCCGGCCTCCCTCATGCATGCGCTCGTCCCTCATCCCGCCCTCTTCTCTCCCCTTACCCTCCTCTCTCTTTCTACCCTCCTCCCTCCTCCGCCACTCCTCACTCCTTTCCCGCTCGTCTCTCCTCCTACCCTCCTCCTTCTTTCCCCTTTCCTCACTCCTCCCACCCTCCTCTCTCCTTCCCCCCTCCTCCCTCCTCCCTCTCTCCTCGCTCCATCCCCTCTCCTTTGTCCTTTCCCGCTCATCTCTCCTTCCCCTCTCCTCCCTCCTTCCCCCCTCCTCTCTCCTCCCCACTTCGTCCCTCCTTCCCCCTTCGTCTCGTCTCCCCCCTTCCTCTCTCTGCCTATCCTCCTCCACCCTCTCTCTCACTCGTCTCTCCCTATCCTCCTCCTCACCTCGTCGCCTCTTCCCTTGCCCCAAGTCACCAGCCGTAATCTCGCCCACCCTCCTCCCGTGTTTCAAATCTGCAACCCCACTTTCCCCTCCCTGCGCCTCCTCCTCTCTTACCCTTCCCGACACCCCTGCTATTCTCGCCTCCTTCCCCTGCCTCTTCTCCTCTTCACTCTTCTCCTCTGCCCCCTTCTCCTTATTCCCCTCGGTGACAAAAGGGATGTCCCTTACTCCTTCCACACTCCTCCCACTCGCACATTCACCCCGTTTCATTACTTTACGCGGCTCTCCGCCTTGTCTCTCCTGCCCTCCCAGCTGATCCTCCTGCTCCTTCCCCTGCGCGCCTTGCTGCTCCTGCAACTTCCTCTTCTTCCCCTGCTCCCTTTGCTTCTCTTGCTCCTTCTGCTGTTCCCTCTGCTTCTCCTTCTCCTTCTGCTGCTCCCTCTGCTTCTCAAGCTCCTTCTGCTGTTCCCTCTGCTTCTCCTTCTCCTTCTGCTGCTCCCTCTGCTTCTCAAGCTCCTTCTGCTGTTCCCTCTGTTTCTCCTTCTCCTTCTGCTGTTCCCTCTGCTTCTCCTTCTCCTTCTGCTGCTCCCTCTGCTTCTCAAGCTCCTTCTGCTGTTCCCTCTGCTTCTCCTTCTCCTTCTGCTGCTCCCTCTGCTTCTCAAGCTCCTTCTGCTGTTCCCTCTGCTTCTCCTTCTCCTTCTGCTGCTCCCTCTGCTTCTCAATCTCCTTCTGTTGTTCCCTCTGCTTCTCCTTCTCCTTCTGCTGTTCCCTCTGCTTCTCCTTCTCCTTCTGCTGTTCCCTCTGCTTCTCATTCGGTGCTGCTACTGGCGGTGCTACTGCTGGCGTTGCTGCTACTAGCGGTTCTGCTACTAGCGGTTCTGCTACTAGCGGTGCTGCTGCTGGCGGTGCTGCTGCCACCAGTGTTGCTTCCGCTACTGCTGCTGGTAAAGCTGCTACACCTGTTGCTGCTGCTTCTGCTCTCTCCCCCCGCCCTGCCACCTCACTCCCTTCTCTTCCCGATCGTGCTTCTACCACTTCTCTCGTCGCTGCTTTACCTTTTACTCTCTCCACTGATGCTCCCCTTGCTGCGTCTCCTTCTCCTGCTATTGCTCCCAGCGATCGCCCCACCATCTCTCCCGTCCCTCCTGCACCTGACGTCACTCCTCCCCTTCCTCCACCTGACGTCACTCCTCCCCTTCCTTCACCTGACGTCACTCCTCCCTTGCCTCCACCTGACGTCACTCCTCCCCTTCCTGCACCTGACGTCATTCCTAGTGGTGCACCTGACGTCACAACCCTGCCAACCGCTTCCTCATGGGCTTCCACTTTCACCTGAATGGACACCTGAAGCCTTCTCTCCGCCACCTTCTCTCCCCCATCACCCCTCCCCTTTCCATCCCTCACACCCATCCCAACCCTGCTACCTGGGCTGCTCTGGCTGGGATTAATAATTCCTGGACTGCTTCTACCTCGCCCTCCAAAGGCCACATCCCTTGCTCTCGCCGGACTGCCAATTGGAGAAGCTGACACATCAGCTGCAGCAGGAGCAGACGGGGAGGCATTGGCAGTGGCAGTGGCAGGAGTGGCAGCAGCACCACCACCACCACCACGAGCAGCAGCAGCAGCAGCAGACAGACCAAGAGCAGCAGGTAATCCCTTCCCTCCACCTGCCACAACCCCTCCTCCACCTCCCACAACCCCTCCTCCACCTGCCACAACCCCTCCTCCACCTCCCACAACCCCTCCTCCACCTGCCACAACCCCTCCTCCACCTGCCACAACCCCTCCTCCACCTGCCACAACCCCTCCTCCACCTGCCACAACCCCTCCTCCACCTGCCACAACCCCTCCTCCACCTGCCACAACCCCTCCTCCACCTGCCACAACCCCTCCTCCACCTGCCACAACCCCTCCTGCACCTGCCACCGCCCCTCTGCCCCCCACCATCCCTCCACTGTCCGCCCCACTCCCTCCTCTCCCTGCTCCTACACCTCCTCTGCCCGCCCCACTCCCTTCCCTCCCTGCTCCTACCCTTCCTCTGCCCCCCTCAACCCCTCCCCTCCCCACCACACTCCCTTCCATTCCAGGCCCCGCCCCTCCCCTCCCCACCCCACTCCCTTCCCTCCCTCCTCCAGCGCCTCCCCTGCCCACCCCACTCCCCTCCCTCCCAGCCCCCGCCCCGCCCTTGGCCGCCAGCTGTGCCAGCAGCCTCTGGCGGATCACCTGTGCTCGCCTCATCACCTCGGCTGCATCGTCACTCCCACTGCCACCTGTAGCTGCATCGGCAGCTGTAGCAGCAGAGGCTGTAGCGGACTCCGCAGCAGCTGTAGCTGCAGTAGCAGCAGTGGCAGCACCGGTTGTAACAATAACACCACCAATTGTAGCAGCAGTTGGGGCAGTGGTAACAGCAGCTCCAGTAGCAACGAGAGCCGCAGCAACAGCATCAGCTGGCATTGCAATGCGATCACCACTAGCACCTGCAGTGGCAGCAGCAGCACCAGCCACACCTGTGGCAATAGCTTCAACATCCTTATTACTAGCAGACCCGTTATCAGCCATTTTCCCTTGAGCTGATCCTTGCCTCACCAGCTGGGCGTTCTTCCGAGCATACTCAGACACGAGCCTCTGCCTCAACATCTGTGCCCTGTGCATCACTTCAGCATCATCCGCTTTACTAACAGACTCAACAACAGCGGCCCTCTGTCGAATCACCTCTGCTCGCCTTAGCACTTCAGATTCCTCAGCGCTGCCTGCTGCTGCTGCAGCAGCAGCCACAGCACCGCCAGCACTGGCCGGAACCACAGCAGCAGCACGAGCGCCAGCTGTAGCAGCAGCAGCAGCGGTTGTAGCCAAGGCGCCTGCTACAGCTATCCTTTCTGGGCTGCCGATAGCACCAGCTGTAGCACTCATCTCCTGCACAGGCCTGACTCTCTCCCTCCTCTCCTCCTCCCTGCCCCTCCCAGATCCATCTTCCCTCTCCCTCTGCTTTCCCCTCTCCCTCACCTCCCTCTCCTTTTCCCTCACCCTCCCTCTCTCCCTCTCTCTCTCCCTCTCCCTCTCCCTCTCCCTCTCCCTCTCCCTCTCTCTTCCCCTCTCCTGCTCCCTCACTCTCTCCCTCTCCTTTTCCTTCTCCCTCTCCCTCACTCTCTCCCTCTCCCTTTCCCTCTCCCTCTCCCTCTCTCTCTCCCTCTCTCTCTCCCTCTCCTTTTCCCTCTCCCTCTCCCTCACTCTCTCCCTCTCCTCCTGTCGAAATTCCTCTCCTCTCCTAGCCACCCTCCTCCCATCCTCAGCTTCATCTCTCTCCTCCCTCTCCCTCTTCACTCTCAACCCTCTATGCTCCCCTCCAGCTCCCTCCTCCTCGCCTCTCCCTCTACCATATGCGCCAGCCTGGTACACCCCTCCCCCAGATAAACCTCCCCCAGATGCACCTCCCCTTGATACGCCTCCCCCTGATGCGCTCTCATCCAAGTGTAACTGCCTCCTTGCCTGTGATAGGGTGGTGCAAGTGTTGCCCCTGTCAGCGGCCGCAGAAGCAGCAGGAGCACCAGAGATAGACGGAGCAGGAGCAGCAGGGATAGCAGGAGCAGGAGCAATAGCCGGAGCAATTGCAGGAGCCGGAGCAGCAGCGACTGGAGGACGAACGACAACGCCAGCTAAACCGGGAGTACCAGCAGAGACAACTGCTGCAGGGGCAGCAGCAGCAGCAACAGCAGGAGCAGCAGGAGCAGCAGAGATAGGAGGGGCAGGAGCAGGAGCAGCACCAGGAGAAGCAACCCCAGCAGCAGAGCTAGCAGCAACAGGGGCAAGCACACCAACCACCACACCTCTGCCCATCCCACCCAAGCCGCCCACATCCGTCTCCCCACCTGCACCCACTTCCCCACTCCCCATATCCACACCAACCCCTACTGCTTCTATCCGCCCTGCAATCTGCGTCCGTCTGTGTTGGAGCGCTGCACACCGTTGATTCGACAGGGCCAATCGCCTCTCAATCTGCCTCAGCCCTCTCCTCAGTCTCGCCTCCTCCTCCTCACACTCCCTCCTCCTCTGCCTCTCCTCCTCCAATGCCGCCTCCACCTCCTCCTCCTCCTTCCACAGAAGCTCCAAAACCTGCCGCCCACTCGGCCCAACCTGCCCGCCCAAACCTCCTTCCCCTGCTTGACCTCCCAAATTCCCCTGCCCGACCTGCCCAGGAGAATTTCCCTCTGTGAGCCATCCACCCTGCCCGGTAAAAGCCTCCTGCCTGCCCGTGACCCCCTGCCCGACCTGCCCGCTAAAAACCTTCCGTTCTGTCCAAACCCCTTGCCAGGCCAAGCCAGGGAAAGGGGGGCGCATGGGTAAAGGTTCAGAGCGAGGGGGGGTGGAGAGAGGGGAATTTGAGAAAGGGGAAGTTGGAAGAAGAGAGGCTGGGAGAGGGGCGGTTGGGAGAGAGGCGGTTGGGAGAGGGGCGGCTGGGGGAGGGGCGGCTGGGGGAGGGGCGGTTGCAGGTGGCATGTGGGCATGGGTGTGGTGGTGCAGGGTGGATGTGTCATGGCTATGGCGAGCTGGGGCCACATGTTCCTCTGCATGTGCATGCGCATGTGAAAGTGCGCCTGCTGCAGCACGGGCACGGTGGTGCAGGCTGGACATGTCATGGGTATGGCGAGCTGGGGCCACATGCCCATGTGCATGCGGCAGGGCATCTGCTGCAGCAGGAGCATTTACAGGCATGCAATACGGCGGGAGGGGAGGCGGAGGAGGAGGAGCAGGAGGAGGGTCAGATGGAGGGGGTGGGGCGGGCAGCGGGGGCGGGGGTGGGGGCGGGTGAGATGGAGGGGGAGGGGGAGGGGGAGGGGGAGCGGGAGAGTGTGGGAGAACGGGTGGCGGAAGGGGGGAAGAAGTGAGAATGGAGGGAGAAGGCAAGGAATGAGGAGGGGCTTGCAAATCAGTTCTAACAGGATCATCTCTCACACCCTGCACCCTCTCGCCCTGAGCCCTCTCGCCCTGAGCCCTCGCACCCTGAGGCCTTGCACCCTGAGCCATCGCACCCTGAGGCCTTGCACCCTGAGCCATCGCACCCTGAGGCCTTGCACCCTGAGCCATCGCACCCTGTGTGTGCGCACCCCTCTCACTTCCCTCCACCCTCTCCTCCTCCAGCCACCCCCCGAAGGAGAACCCCCCTGCCCCATGCCACACACTCGCAAGCCCCGCCCACGCCCCATCCGTCTCCAGTGCTGCCTCAACTCCTATCTGTGGTGGTGACACTCGCACTGCTGCTGCTTCCACCCTCCCACTCGCAGGTGATAGCTGCACTGCTGCATCTATCCCCACAGTCCCAGGCGACACCTGTACTGCTGCCTTTACCCCCGCACCCCCAGGTGACGCCTGCATTGCTGCTTCGCCTCCTGCTGCTGCCACCAATCCTGCTGCTCCTGCTGTTGCCGCTTTCCCTGCAGCTTCTGCAGCTGCATTTGCTCCTGCTGCTCCGGCCCCTGCTGCCTCTACTGCTGCCGCAGCAAGAGCCTCTGCAATCACCGTCTGGGCTTCAGCTGCAATACCAACCCCAGGAATGCCCCCACGCCCCCCTATAGGCACACCTTGCCTGTAATCACCCTCCCAGCCTCCAAAAGCATCTGCTATTGGATCATACTCGCGCCCCTGACCACCATCACTACCGTTATAAGCACCACCACCAGCCCCACCAACACCATTATAAGCACCACTACCACCAGCAGCAGCACCAGCACCATTATAAGCACCACTACCAGCAGCAGCAGCAGCAGCAGCAGCATCATCATCATCATCATCATCATCAGCACCATCATCATCATCATCATCATCATCCATGGGGTCGATCTCCATGTCCTCACCACTGTCCGGGTCAACGCTGGTGCCAATACCATCGCTACCAGCACCACCAGCATCGCCAAAGCCAGCCTCAGCGTTCTGCTTGCTGAACTCAGCAGTCTGCTTGCTGGCTTCAACAATCCGCGTGCTGATCTCAGCAGTCTGGTTGCTCAGCTCAGCATACATGGGCTTCACGTCTTCTGGTGAGTCCTGAAGAATCCAGCAAGGAGAGAGATGATTGCATTGGAGGGGAGAAGATGGCATGGGAAGCGGGGCGATGGCATGGGAACAGAGAAAGAACAGCAAGGAGGCACAGGAAGTTGCCCACACAATCAGACATCTTTTCTGACAGTCAGACAATCATTCAAACAAAATCAGACCCGTGTTTCAACAAAATCAGACCAATCTTCAAAGCACGTAATTCTAGGCGTTTGGACAATCCTCTCTGTTGCTGTTGTGTGTCCACCCGACCACAATCACACGAGCTCGCCCCCCTTCACCATTGTTATCATCTCACGCACAACAGGCACACTCCACAACGCCTGTCGATACGCGATTGACAGGTAATCTCGCACCCACTCACCCGACCAGATCAATCAAACCATAACAAAAAAAACCCTCAGGATTTTGCATTTGAGTGACAATCCCACTCACCGGAGCAACCCCGTTATTGCCACCACCCCCGCCACAAGCACCATCATCAACAGCACCACCGCCACCACCAACACCGCCACCACCAGCACCACCACCACTATCTAACATGATTGGTTCATCCTCGTCATCATCATCCAGCATGATTGGTTCGTTCCAGCTCATCCCCCGCTTCAGCAGCCCACTACTTTGCTCTCCCGCTCCCGCTCCCGCTCGCCCCTGACCTAGACCTCTTGCTCCTCCTCTCGACCGCACCGTTCCGCCTCTGACTGCTACAGGACGAGAAACGCCGCCCTGTCGAGATGTATGTGAGGAAGCACCGGCTGCAGCTGCTTCTGGGGTGGCAGCGGGTGCCTTCCCTGCTAATCCAGATGCTCCTGCTGCTACTCCTCCTTCCTCACTTGCCTTCTCAACAGCACCTGGTGCTCCTTCCTTCGTCTCAGGTGCTGCCGATATTGAAAGCCTGGACAGAGAAACACCTGAAATATCTCCTGAGCGTGCCACCGCCGCAGATTCCGTCACCATAGGTGCAGGTGGCACATCCGTTGCTACTGCTGCTGGTGCCCCTGCTGCCGCTGCTCCTGCTCCTGCTGCCCCTGCTGCTGCTGCTGCTCCTGCTGCCCCTGCTGCTGCTGCTGCTCCTGCTGCCCCTGCTGCTGCTGCTGCTCCTGCTGCCCCTGCTCCTGCTACTGCTCCTGCTGCCCCTGCTGCTGCTGCTGCTCCGGCTGCTGCTGCTGCCGCAGCAGCGAGAGAGGGAGAGGTTGCGCGGGGAGGCACGGGCGGAGTGGCGGACCGGGAACGCGCCAGAGAGGGGGGCACGGGGGGAGGGGGGATAAGCGCGGAGGTGGCGGAACGCGGGGGGTTGACTGGGGGAGTGAAAGAACGCGGGGAGTTGACAGGGGGGGTGAAGGAACGCGGGGAGTTGACAGGGGGAGTGAAGGAGCGGGGAGGGACAACAGGTGGGGTGAAGGAACGCGGAGCGGCGAGAGGAGGAGTGGTGGAACGGGGAGGGCGAGAGGGGCTAGAGACAGTCGCATTATCTGCAGAAGCTCTGGCAAGCGGAGCTCCAGCCTTTTCCTTTTCTGCTGAGAGGTCAGCAGCACCCACTGCTACAGCTGCCGCTCCCAGGCCTGTAGCAGCCGGTGTAGAGGCTTTTGCTACTGGCTGTGCTGCTGCTGCTACAGCCGCAGTTGGTGCTGCTGGTACAGCCGCCTTTGGCGCTGGCGGCGCTTCTGCCGGCGCAGCTACAGAAGTCTTTGCCAGAGGCGGTGCTACAGCCGTCTTTGCTGCTGGTGGTGCTGATCCCCGCGCTGCTACAGCTGGAGCTGCGGCCTGCTTTGGTTCCCTCGAAGGCTTCTCCCTTTTGCTGCCACCAGGAGCACTGACACCACTGCCACTTGCGCCACCGCCACTTGCGCCAGGACCATTTGCGCCAGTCCCGCTTGCGCCACCCCCACTTGCGCCGGCGCCACTGGCGTTTCCGCCGCTGCTTGGCTCTGCGCCTTCCTTAGGCGTATCCGGACTCTGTCCCCCGCCTGCCTCAACCAAGTTCCCCGAGCTCCCGCCTTCCCCTCTGCGCTCAAAAGCCGCGATCTGCTCGCGCATGAGCGCAATTTGCTTCAAAAACTGCGAGGAAGCTCCGCCGTCACTCCCGCCTGCTCCGCCAGAGCTTGCGCCAGCCGCCGCCGGAGAAGATCCGCCAGCAGCAGCCGCTGGGGGAAGGGGGACGGAAGGGGAGCGGCCCAGTGCTCGCGCGGAAGCTGCGCGCGCAACTACCCCAGCCCCCGTCTGTCTTCCGCGGGGTTGCGCGGCTTGTGCGCCACCCGCAGTCCAAACTGTGGACTTGCTCGCGCCCGGGGGAAGCGAGAGCGGAGAGGCGGAAGCGGTGGCGGAAGCGGAAGCGGAGGCGGAACCTTGCCCAGCGGCGGGGAGAGAAGAAAATGTTCGACTGGTGGAAGATCCTGGCGCGCTCGCGGGTCTTGGCGGAAGGGCAACGGCGGAAGTATTTCCGCCGCCCCCTCCCCCCCCTGACGCCCCGCTCCCTGGTGAAAGGATCGCGGTCGGAGAGGCTCGTCTGGCCGGCGGTAACGATCTGCTGCTCGAAATGTCGCTTTTCGGGTTACCACCTCCTTCGCGACTGGGATCAGCATTGTCGTCGCCGTCGCCATCGCCGTCATCGTCGTCATCGTCGCACGTGAACCGAATGACGAAGTTTCTCCCGGGCGGTGAGGGGGAGGATGCGCGACGCTGGGGCGCGGGGGGGAACGAGGGCGCGGAAGGCGCGTACTGGGAGGCGGAGGGGTAGGCGGAAGCGGAAGGGTACGGCGGAGCGGAAGAGTAAAGGGGAGCGGAAGAGTAAGGGGGAGCGGAAACGTACTGCGCAGCAGAAGCGTACTGGTGAGGGGAATGGTACGGGGAAGCGGAAGCGTACGGATGAGGAGGGTACGGGGGAGCGGAGGAATAAGCGGAGGCGGAAGGGTATGGCGGAACGGAAGGCGCACTCCGCGAGGGGGGGGGGACGTGAGACGCGCGGAAGGTGAGATTGGCGGATCTGACTGGTTTGGGATGGGGATCCCAAGGGGAAGGGGGGGTTTTCCGGGGATGCATGTTTCTAGCCTATGTGAGCGAGATTCACTCAAACCAAACAAAGGTTTAGAGAAGCGCGTGAGAGGCTGGGACGGTAAGACGACACGGTCAGTATGACAGGTTGAACAAATAAAAAAAACTCAAAAAATATCGCATAGGTAAGATGAGACGCTTAGATGATGCGATGAAGTATGAGGGTTGGGCAATAACGGGTGGAATGAGCAATGACCGACCCTCGACCGAACGCCAGCGCAAGCAGCTAAAGTGGATCTAAGAAAAGCAGGAAAGCCGAATTTTGAAACGCCTCGGTTAGCAGGAAAGCCGCGCATCACAGGTAGCCAAGACGGAGCGCATTCCTCGACGATGGCGTACGCCGTGACGATCCCTCCGCTTTCCAACGATTCAAAATTCATCATCTATCAACCATCTTCTACGATATACCCACTGAGCCACGGCGGATCGCTACCCCATTCGCGTTACTAGTTGTAAAGACACCACCTAATCCTGAATAGAAATGCTACGAGAACCTCTCGAGAGCAGATTTGAAGCTCCCTTTGCTGCCTCCTTTGCTCCCTCCCCACACCCATCAGACAGCCAGCACCTTCAGGGAAACCCCGGGAACTGCTGCCTGGTGTTTGCCTTGCTGCTAGCCAAGATTTCGAAACCTTGAAAATGCACACCAGCTCGACTGAAGCTGACGCGATAAAAACAAAAGCTTCGTGATAACTGGTATTGAGCTGATGTTCTTCTGTACACCACGTCGATGGGGAAATTGTTCCCTGAGTTTAGCATTAGCGAAATGGTATGTTATAGGGCCTTTTCGCGACTTCTTCCGTTCGCCAATCACACTCCCCTCCGCCGATTCATCCCCGCCTGCTGCAGTCCGCGCACTCCGCCATTTTCCCGCTTCCCTCTGCGCAGCACCCAAAGCGCACCCAATTCAGTCAGAACTCCCGACAAGCCCACAGATTCACAAATTCATCTGTGTCAAGAGAACGTACTGAACCGTATCATAACTTACCGAAACACGAAATAGCCTGTGAAACCTCTTGAACGCACTCCAGCACCATTTGCCATTGACATACCACGCCGTTAGGTCGGGTCGGGAGATAAGCAGGTTATTCCTAACAGACAAGCAGGTTGTCAACAGTTAATCATGCTGTGTCGGCTTGCTTTCTGTTCTGAACGAGCAATCTACTAGTGTGCATGTTGTCTAGTCAGATGCGCTTTCCGTGACATTCTTTCCATTCGTCGCTGGTTCTGCTAAACCAGATTCAATGACGCTACTGGAAGAATCCGTGAAGTTACGAGATAGAGCGACTGTTACCACCGCGGCGGATCGTGCAGGTTGTGGACACGTGGCAGCTGACATGACAGCTGACGCATCAGCTGACGTAGCAAGAAAGAATGCACATCAAGAAAGAGCTTGTAGCGGAGTTCCCCCGACCGCATCCGCCAATTCTTCCGCCGCTGTCGGCGCGGCTTCCGCCTCTGGTGCTTCCGCCAATAATGCTTCCGTCATCAGCTTTTCCGCCAGCTCCGCCGCGACTACCCCCGAACTGGTTCCGCGCTCCTCCCGCCCATCCACCCCCTGTTCCCCGCGCCCATCCAACATTCACCTCGATACCCCTCAAAAACCCCCTCGCCCGATTAGTTTATCGATAAGCACGACTTTTTCAGGGGAAAACACCCCAGCGGGCCCGTCGCCCCGCGTTGCTGCAGCCGCGGCTGTGGCTGCCGCTGCTGCTGAGCTGCTTTGGGAAACGCCGCCGAAGCAGACTGCCGGGACAGGCTCGGCAGGAGCATTGCAACGGCAAGGCTCGGGGAAAGGCTGGGGAGTAAGCTCGCCGTCAGGACCGGCAGCTGATGGGGGGAGCAGCAGCGGTGGTTCGGGGCTGCAGCGGCAGCCGTCAGGCTCGGCATCAGGATCGGACACGCCGAAGCTGAAGCAGTGGGTAGCGGCCCATCCCCCTGCACACGGCTTGGATAATTCGGGTAGGGCGCTAGGGCTTGTGGGGATGGGTGGGGGGTGAGCTGTGGGTAAAGGCATGAGGGGGCCGGAACGTTTCGGGATGCGGTGGAGTGCGGTGGAGTGGGAACTGTGGGGTTTTCATTCTTCCTCTTGTGCTTGAGAATTATGCTTGTTTCCTCTCCCTGGTTTCTCCTCCCTCCTCTTGCACACTACCCCTCCTCTTCCCGGTCTTTCCCCACTTGCATTCCTTCGCCTTTTCCTTCTCTCACTCATGTTCTGCCGTTCTCCCCGCGTCCCCTCTCCCTGCACCCTCTCCCTCCCCGCACCCCCACCCTCTCCCCGCACCCCCATCCTTTCCCGACAACCCCCTTCCTGCTCCCACACCCCCTTCCCCCCAGCTCTTGTCGTGGATGGCTCTGCCTTGTCGTATCTGTGGAAGGAGGTGGTGGGGCGGGACGGGGCGGCAAGAGAGGGCGGCAAGGGCGCGGATGTGAGGAGAGAGAAGGTTTACAACACCATGTTCAATGTGCCATGGCGGTGTGAACTGGTGAGGGGTGTAGAGCGGTGTAAGGCGGTGAGAAGGTTGACTCCCATGAATAGGGAGAAGGTTTACAACACCATGTTTAACGTGCCGTGGCGGTGTGAACTGGTGAGGGATGTAGAGCGGTGTAAAGCGGTGAGAAGGTTGAGTTCCGCAAGGAGAGGGAGGGGAGGAAGGGTGCGGACGTGAGAAGGGAGAAGGTCTACAACACCATGTTTAACATGCCATGGCGGTGTGAACTGGTGAGGGGTGTAGAGCGGTGTAAAGCGGTGAGAGGGTTTACTTTTGTGAGGCGAGGTAGGGTGGCAAGGGCGCGGACGTGAGGAGAGAGAAGGTTTACAACACCATGTTCAATGTGCCATGGCGGTGTGAGCTGGTGAGAGGCTGAGGGGTCCAGAGCGGTGTACTGCGGTGAGGGTGGCAAGGGCGCAGACTTGCGGAGGGAGAAGGTTTACAACACCAGGTTAAACGTGCCGTGGCGGTGTGAATTGGTGAGGGGTGATGGGTGAAGTGAACTGGTGAGAAAAGGACTAGTTTTGAGATTACAATGTGAGATATTTTTGAGAAATCTCAAAAGTCTCCTCCTGTTTCCCGTACTCTGCTTCTCCCTCCCAACCCTCAGCTCATCCTCATACGGTACCTACTCCATCGGCACTCCTTCTTGCTCCCCTCATGCATGCTCACACCGCTCTCCTTCTCCCGTAATCCTAACTCCCCGTTCGCCTCCCACACCACTCCTTCACCTGATCACCATGGAGCATCTCGTCTGTCTCTCCCCCTCTCAGGCGTTCGTGCACACAACTCTCCTCCACACTTCCCCTTCTCCCAATCTCCTCCTCTCCCTCCCACTACACCACTCCCTCAGCTGATAATAATGGGCTACCTTGTCTGTCTCGACTCCTTCCTCTCACTCCTCGCCATCCTTCCCATCCGCCTCTTCCTCCTCTTGCTCCGCCTGCTCCTGGCACCATGGTGGGTTGATAGCGCCCTGGTGAGCTGATATCTGTGCCCATACCTGTGCTGTGCTGCATCTCAAAGGGTCCATCTCCCTCCCTGTCTTGATATTTATTGCATGCATCGTTTCAAGCATGTTGCTGCTTCTCTTAAATCATGTGTACAGTTTGATGTATGGGTGCTGTCCAAAACGTTCGGGCTTCTTTTATTTCACTATGCTGTACTGTACTGTACGACAGGAGGGGGCGGCTGCATCTGGGTGTGGACGACATTGCTGACGTCGGCAAGGGCGTCATCATCGTGTGCGGTGTGCTGGCGCTGCAGCAGGCTGACGTCAGCCTCATATACCACTGGATCCGCGGGCAGAACATTCTCAAGCTCGTCGTGATCTACAATGTGCTCGAGGTGAGTTGTGAGTGGTGGTGAGTGGCTCTGTGCGGTGAAGTGTGGTTGTGTGCTGTTGTGTGCGGCTGTGCTTTCGAGCAGGCTGACGTCAGCCTCATATACCACTGGATCCGCGGGCAGAACATTCTGAATCTCGTGGTCATGTGCAATGTGCTTGAGGTGAGCCGTGTGTGTGCGGTTGTGTGCGAGCAGCGACGTGCATTTCTCATGTGCGACAACTTAGTAAATGTATCCCCCCAACCCACCCCACCCGACACCACACCACACCACACCACACCACACCACACCCCACCCCACCCCACTCCAGGTGATGGACAAGCTGTGTCAGAGCCTGGGGTGTGACGTGCTACAGATGACTCTCAACACCGCGGCTCGCGTGGCTGCTGCCGCTACAGCCGGGTCATCGGCAGGAGCGGCAGGAACAACAGGAGCAGGAGCAGCGGCAGCAGCAGCAGCAGCAGCAGCAGCAGGAGGAACAGGAGCAGGAACAGCCGGGTCAGCAGCGCCTGCTGCTGCATCCCTGGCAACAGAAGCCCTGCGGTTCATAATCGACGAGGCCATAGCCGTGGCATGCTTTCTGCTGCACGCGCTGGTGCTGCTCACACAAGCGGTCACGCTGAACGTGGCAATCAACTCGCACAACCACATCCTCGTCACTCTGCTCGTGTCGAACAACTTCGCCGAAGTGAAGTCTAATGTGTTCAAGCGCTTTAGTCGGGAGAACATCCACAAGCTCGCCTGCCTAGGTGAGCTGAGCATCATGCACGGTAGCAGCAACAGGTGAGCTCTCAGTGGGTGATGTAGCAGGTGCATGGCAGTGGCGTGATTCCTGCTGCACGCGCTGCCACTGGTGCTGCTGACCCAGGCCGTGACGCTGAACGTGGCAATCAACTCGCACAACAACCACATCCTCGTCACTCTGCTCGTGTCGAATAACTTCGCTGAAGTGAAGTCGAATGTGTTGAAGCGCTTCCGTCGGGAGAATATTCACAAGCTTGTGTGCCTCGGTGAGTGTTGTGTGCCTCGGTGAGTGTTGTGTGCCTCGGTGAGTGTTGTGTGCCTCGGTGAGTGTTGTGTGCCTCGGTGAGTGTTGTGTGCCTCGGTGAGTGTTGTGTGCCTCGGTGAGTGTTGTGTGCCTCGGTGAGTGTTGTGTGCCTCGGTGAGTGTTGTGTGCCTCGGTGAGTGTTGTGTGCCTCGGTGAGTGTTGTGTGCCTCGGTGAGTGTTGTGTGCCTCGGTGAGTGTTGTGTGCCTCGGTGAGTGTTGTGTGCCTCGGTGAGTGTTGTGTGCCTCGGTGAGTGTTGTGTGCCTCGGTGAGTGTTGTGTGCCTCGGTGAGTGTTGTGTGCCTCGGTGAGTGTTGTGTGCCTCGGTGAGTGTTGTGTGCCTCGGTGAGTGTTGTGTGCCTCGGTGAGTGTTGTGTGCCTCGGTGAGTGTTGTGTGCCTCGGTGAGTGTTGTGTGCCTCGGTGAGTGTTGTGTGCCTCGGTGAGTGTTGTGTGCCTCGGTGAGTGTTGTGTGCCTCGGTGAGTGTTGTGTGCCTCGGTGAGTGTTGTGTGCCTCGGTGAGTGTTGTGTGCCTCGGTGAGTGTTGTGTGCCTCGGTGAGTGTTGTGTGCCTCGGTGAGTGTTGTGTGCCTCGGTGAGTGTTGTGTGCCTCGGTGAGTGTTGTGTGCCTCGGTGAGTGTTGTGTGCCTCGGTGAGTGTTGTGTGCCTCGGTGAGTGTTGTGTGCCTCGGTGAGTGTTGTGTGCCTCGGTGAGTGTTGTGTGCCTCGGTGAGTGTTGTGTGCCTCGGTGAGTGTTGTGTGCCTCGGTGAGTGTTGTGTGCCTCGGTGAGTGTTGTGTGCCTCGGTGAGTGTTGTGTGCCTCGGTGAGTGTTGTGTGCCTCGGTGAGTGTTGTGTGCCTCGGTGAGTGTTGTGTGCCTCGGTGAGTGTTGTGTGCCTCGGTGAGTGTTGTGTGCCTCGGTGAGTGTTGTGTGCCTCGGTGAGTGTTGTGTGCCTCGGTGAGTGTTGTGTGCCTCGGTGAGTGTTGTGTGCCTCGGTGAGTGTTGTGTGCCTCGGTGAGTGTTGTGTGCCTCGGTGAGTGTTGTGTGCCTCGGTGAGTGTTGTGTGCCTCGGTGAGTGTTGTGTGCCTCGGTGAGTGTTGTGTGCCTCGGTGAGTGTTGTGTGCCTCGGTGAGTGTTGTGTGCCTCGGTGAGTGTTGTGTGCCTCGGTGAGTGTTGTGTGCCTCGGTGAGTGTTGTGTGCCTCGGTGAGTGTTGTGTGCCTCGGTGAGTGTTGTGTGCCTCGGTGAGTGTTGTGTGCCTCGGTGAGTGTTGTGTGCCTCGGTGAGTGTTGTGTGCCTCGGTGAGTGTTGTGTGCCTCGGTGAGTGTTGTGTGCCTCGGTGAGTGTTGTGTGCCTCGGTGAGTGTTGTGTGCCTCGGTGAGTGTTGTGTGCCTCGGTGAGTGTTGTGTGCCTCGGTGAGTGTTGTGTGCCTCGGTGAGTGTTGTGTGCCTCGGTGAGTGTTGTGTGCCTCGGTGAGTGTTGTGTGCCTCGGTGAGTGTTGTGTGCCTCGGTGAGTGTTGTGTGCCTCGGTGAGTGTTGTGTGCCTCGGTGAGTGTTGTGTGCCTCGGTGAGTGTTGTGTGCCTCGGTGAGTGTTGTGTGCCTCGGTGAGTGTTGTGTGCCTCGGTGAGTGTTGTGTGCCTCGGTGAGTGTTGTGTGCCTCGGTGAGTGTTGTGTGCCTCGGTGAGTGTTGTGTGCCTCGGTGAGTGTTGTGTGCCTCGGTGAGTGTTGTGTGCCTCGGTGAGTGTTGTGTGCCTCGGTGAGTGTTGTGTGCCTCGGTGAGTGTTGTGTGCCTCGGTGAGTGTCTGTGCGGTGAGTGTCTGTGCGGTGAGTGTCTGTGCGGTGAGTGTCTGTGCGGTGAGTGTCTGTGCGGTGAGTGTCTGTGCGGTGATTGTCTGTGCGGTGAGTGTCTGTGCGGTGAGTGTTGTGTGCTGTAGCAGCAGATGTGTCCCCAAAGGGAGGTGCAGCAGGTGCGTTTTTTGAGAATTCTCAAAAAACACACGTGGCAGTGGCATGCTTCCTGCTGCACGCGCTGCCACTGGTGCTGCTGACACAGGCCGTCACGCTGACTGTGGCCATCAACTCGCACAACCACATTTTGATCACGCTCCTCGTGTCGAATAACTTTGCGGAAGTGAAGTCCAACGTAAGTGTTCCACAAGCTCGCATGCCTAGGTGAGTGTTGTGTGCTGTAGCAGCAGAAGATCCTGGTGGGTGGGGTGCAGCAGGTGCATAGCTGCTGGGTGGTGCTGCTGACCCAGGCCGTCACACTCAACGTGGCCATCAACAACTACATACTCGTCACTCTGCTCGTGTCCAACAACTTTGCGGAGGTTAAATCTAACGTCTTCAAGCGCTTCAGCCGGGAGAATATTCACAAGCTCGTATGTCTGGGTGAGCTCACGTGTTTGTATGCACCCAAATCTTAGTTATGCGTGCTTATGTACACTGTTAGGTGTTGCTTATGTAAGCTTGCTTTTTAGGTAAGTGTGGTGTTAAACTTTCAACCTAATGTGTTTTTTTCACAAGCTCGCCTGTTTCGGTGAGTGTCATGGACGGTAGAAGCAGGAGCAGAAGGGGCATTCTCAGTGAGTGGTGCAACAGGGAAGTGCATGGAAGTGCGTTGCTTAAGTTTTTACCTCTTCCGGTTCTTTCCAATTTTCAATGACTCGATTGAAAACTACGGTTGTTGTGCCTCCCCCATCTGCCCCTCCCACCCGCACCAGACACGGTGGAACGGTTTCATCTATCGTGTCATTTCGGTCAACTAGAAAGTCACCTCTCTATAATTCACCTTGCGAACTGGTGTGCTTCAACGTCCTGCTCCTCTCACCTGCCCGCCGCTCCTGCCCCTCCCACCCGCGCCAGACACGGTGGAACGGTTTCATCTCTCGTGTCATCTCCTCTTCGTGGTGGTACAGAACGTGGTGAAGGGGCAGGGCACCTCACTCTCCTTCTTTGTCCGGGTGAGTTGCCACTCGCGTGACATGCCTTGTGAGCGGGCGGTGCAGCGTATGAGCGTGCGGTGCAGCGTATGAGCGTGTGGTGCAGGGTATGTGCGTGCGGTGCAGGGTGTGTGCGGTGCGGTGCGGTGCAGTGCAGTGTATGTGTGCACGGTGTGGGGCTGTGAGATGCTCGTGGGCAATCTAAAGCACTCCTTTCAAGATGCTTACTTGCTTGCCTCATTGCCAGCTTACATGCCTCTCTACCTCCCTGCCTCCCTTCTTTCCTGCCTCGGTGCCTCCTGTCAGAACTTGAGCTTAGAATCCATGCATTAGTAATGAGCTCAAGGCTAAGTACATCGGAAATGGGCAAGGTAAGGATGGGGAGAGAATCGGGGGCAATCCTAGGGAATTGGGGGTAATCCCAAGGCAATCTCCAATTGGTGGGTTGGAGATTGCTTGAAGATCACATTTGGGTTTGGTTGGGATGTGGGTGTACACCCAACCAAACACAAAGTGCATACTACACTAGGATATAAAAGTGCAAGTACGAAATGTGAGATTGAGGGCTAACACTAACACCTCCGCCTGTGCTTGCAGAACGTATGCACGGTGTCGGGCTGTGAGATGCTGGTCGACAACTTAAAGCACTCCTTCCTTACTTGCTAGCCTCCCTGCGTCCCTGGCTTCTGCCTCCCTGCGTCCCTCCCTCCCTCCCTCCCTCCTGCCTCCCTGCCTCCTTCCCTACGCTGTGTGCTTGCACAACGTGTGCATGGTGTGGGGCTGTGAGATGCTAGTTGACAACCCGAAGCACTCCTTTCAACAGGCTTACTTGCTTCCGTCCCTGCCTTCCTCCTTTCCTCCCTACCCTCCATGATTGCAGAACGTGTGCACGGTGTGGGGCTGTGAGATGCTGGTGGACAATCTGAAACACTCCTTTCTCGCCAAGTTCAACGAGATCAAGCCTGAAACCTACTCCGACTTCCTGCTCTCGCTCTGCAGACAGGTGAACCGCTTTGCACACACATGAACCACTCTGGAGACATGTGAACCACTCAGCAGACAGGTAAAGCGCTGCATACAGGTAGACCATTCTGCACACAGGTGAACCGCTCTGCACACAGGTGAACCGCTCTGCACACAGACAATCCCTCTCCACTCCCTGCCTACTCCCACCCACTTTATTCTTGTTTTGTTTTTTACCATCACATGCACCACACAAATCTCTCTCTTTTCTTTTCCCCGACCACCGCCCTCACCAATGCCCTTGCTCCACCCTGCGTCCTCCCCTTTTTCCCTGCCACCACATCTCCTCTAACCTCGCTTCCCCGCTCCTCCTCCGCATCGGGTGCTGGAGGATCGCTGTCAGCACCTTGTGCACCGTAGAAAGCCTTCCTCTCTCCACCCTCCCTCGACCTCCGCTTTTTTCTCCCCTCTCCTCGCCCTCTCTTTCCCCCCCCCACTTCTCATCGGGTCCTGGAGGATCGCTGTCACCACGTGCACCGCAGCATAGGAGGCCCCTCGCCTCTTCACCTCTCTTCCTCCCCCCCCTTCGCCTCACCTCCTCATCAGGTCCTGGAGGATCGCTGTCACCATGTGGATTTTGCGATGCTCCCCTCTCCTCACCTTCCCCCCCCCCACCCCTCCCCCCACGCCCCCTTCCACCCCCAGGTCCTGGAGGATCGCTGTCACCACGTGCACCGCACCATGAGCTTTGTTGCTCTTGGGCCCGCGTGCAATGTGAGTTGTGGGGGGGAAGGGCTGGATGGGTTGGGTATGGTGTGGTGCGGTGATGATGGGTACATTGTGAGTGTTTGCTGTCACCACGTGCATCGCAGCATGAGCTTTGTCCCTCTTGGGCCGGCATGCAATGTGAGCTGTGGGGGGCAGGGGAAGGAGATGAGTGGTGGTGGGTGTGCTGTGATGATTGGTTGGTGGTGGGTGTGGTGTGGTGATGGGTGGTGGTGGGTGTGGTGTGGTGATGGGTGGTGGTGGTTGTAGTGTGGTGTTGATGGGTACATTGCGAGTGACTGCAGCTCGAGCTTCATCCCTTGGGGCCCGGCATGCATTGTGTCTTGCAGGGTCAGATTAAGATGGTTTGTAATGGGTGAAGTGCGGTGGTGCTGGGTGCAATGTCACGCGAACAGGCAGGAGACTAATGCCACTACCTGTATCGCAACATAGGGTATATGCCTTGCTGCCTGCCTCCTTTCACTCGTAGATTTATTGTTCCTTGTTTTCATCCGGAAATCCCTGTCCCCTTTTCCTCTCCCCTCCCCCCCGCCCCATCCTCGTTCTACTCTCTCATGGTACTCTCCCCTTATTACCTGGAAATCCGTCCATGGGTTTTTTACTGGCCCAGGTTATTCGAGTTGCCAGTCCTCTCATTGCGCTGTTTATTCCCGCCGGCCACCCTCTGCTCTCCCGATGCATTACCCCACTGGTTGTCATAGGTACTGTGTTGATGCTTGCATTGGTAAAAGCCCATTTAGCCTTATCCCTGCAGATTTACTCACGTTGGTACATTTTGCGCCACCGGGAAACAGAAGCCAAGCTTCACAAGGACTGATGGGCTTCATATTACGGTATATGTAAGAGTCTCTTAACCAATATTTTGCAAACCTAATCAGTGTTATGTTTTATGTATAAGGAGTCCAATCGACCACATTGAAGAAACGAGTGCGATACAGCGGGAGCAGTATCAAAAGAAAATGAACGGACAAGACAAAGAAGCAGAGGACAGAAGTGCCGTCAACAGTCCTGACCACCATGGGTGAACAGTAAGAGCCAACAGTAATACTGTGAGCTTTGCGAGATTGATGTTTTGACCGGGACCAAATGAACATCGAACATCAGGGTGTACACCTTTACACGACAAGTTCATTTATCTGTATATTGATTGTTTCATGTGGGTTCAAGTACAGTTCGGGAGGCATCGGTATTGAACTGTACTAAAATAACAAGAATGTAATTCAAGAAGATTGGATCGCGTAAATCGCATAGCATAGATATGTCCAGCTTCCCATACCGTGCTGTTCCGTTTGTCTTTTCTAACGATCTGTCCTGAAGTGGCGTAAAGTTTTGAATTTACACGCACGAATGACGTGTCCAATCTACTTTTTACGGAAAGTGAACCCAGCCCAATCCACTACGAAGCTACAGTGGTCACTGTCGCTAGGTGCTTCAAAGGAAGTTTCGCAAGCTGCAAATTTTTTTCTCGTTCCTTTGATTCACAGTTCACCCAGTTTAGGGAAAGTGCAGAACAAAAGCCTGGAACTTCAAGGGTCGTACTGTTGGATGGCTTCTACACTTCTACCAGTACTAATGTGCTCGAAGACACTAAGCCGCTTTCCCTGGGACACTAAGTGCTGTACTTGAGGAACCGCATCACAAAGAACCCAGCCGTCACATCACAACAGCCCTCCTGCTCACATCCAATCGACATGTCAGGTTATATTGTTTGTGTTTTTTCCGACTTGTTCGCACGTGCCCAGCGGAATATATGGGTAACGAAACTGCCCCCAGCGAGGCCAGGTTGTTCCCCCGCCGCTGCCCTCGGTTTGTATCCACCTTTGCCACCGCCGTATTCCAGCATCCACAGAATGTCAAGTGTGTCAATTTCCGCCAGCCTGTTGCTCCGCTGGCACCCGTTTCCGCAAGACAGTTTCGAGCAGCTCCCCCACTCCAATCCCAAGCCCCGCCAACTGGCGCGGGATCGCGCTGCGGATTCCCCCGCAGAGGCGGGAGGTAACTGTCAAGGGGAAATGCAGAGCACAAGAATTGCCAGCAGCAGCAGGGAGGGCAAAGAGCACAAAAGCAGGGCGGATCGTTCTGGCCAGTTTGATCACTCCAGTTTTTGCTGCTCGAACAGCTGTATCTATTGCTGATGTCGGATTTCCCACCATTTCCCTGACTTCTTTCCGCAAAGTAAAGCTAGCAGTCCTAGATTTTCACCTTTCCCTCACCGGCAGACACGCTCTCCAGAGCCGCGACTCCTGACCCTCTCATTTTCCGTCTTGCTGGACCAAGATACCGCCATCTTGTAGATCTCCGAACCGTCAGCCTGAGGTCTGCATAGCCTAGCCTAAGTAGGCCGCTGCCTTAAAAAAAACCCTTCAGAAGCCGAAAAGTATCATTTTTGAACGGGCGGTTTTTCTCGAAAGGTTCATTGGCCGTTTCAAAGCCGAGTCTCGGAAGTCCATCCTAGCTTCGCAATATCTCACTCAAGATTGGAATGGCGTCCACCGTCGCGAATCGCCCTCGAGTCCATTTGCCGACTTCTCCCTGCCACCGCCAGTCACAATCGAGCCCATCCAACTGCTTTTACGAAACCCCCGCGTTTCATTCTACCACCGCCTCTTCCGCCGAAGATGCTTACAACAGGTCACGAGACACGTACACCTCCTTTTCCACCGCCTACGCCGCCTCCTCCTCCTCGGGCTCCGCCACCAGTAGTTTTACCACTGGTGGTACCCCCGCAAAATTTGCGCAGATCGACCGCCGTCTCATGATGTGGAACCGCGCGACGGGCGGAACAGGCGCAGCCCGATCGCCTGCGCAGCCTGCGGCTCAAAGGACCGCGCCGGAAGCCGTTGCGCGCCAAGAGCTCCTTCAGCGCAGCGGATGCGCTCTCCCGCCCGTCCGGTCGAATAGCAGCCCGGCGATTCGCCTAGCAAAGTCCGTCAACGATGCAGCCGCCGCGTCGACGCGCAGTTCGCCCCTCGGGGGACCTTCGAGCGACAGCAGTTCTGATACTTCCGTCGCATACCAAGATCGCGACGCGGCAGCATCTGGAGCGTCTTCGCCGCTGTTTCCTGCGAGCGCCGCGACGTTTGACCTGTTTCCTGGGAGCCAGAGCCTTTCGCGGTCAAGAAGCGCGCATGTCAATGGAAGCGCCGCGGTTCCTGGTTCCCCGAGCAGTTCCCGCACGCAGTCGAGAAGAAGCCTCGGCGAAAGTTCCGCTTTCAGCTTCGGAAGACTGCATTCAGGAAGCCCCGGGAGCGGGACGAAAGGCGGAAGTGCTTATGCCACTGGCTCCGCCGCCGCCGCAGCCGGAACGGAATCTGTTTTTGAGTGGGCGGCGAAGAGGCGCATGGCAAATCGGATCAAGGTTACCAGAAAATGAGTACGGTATTTTTGGGGCATGCGCTACAGTTTTCTCATAAACATTCGAGCATGCCTGTCTAATTGCGGCGTTCTTCCTACCTGCAATTGTTGCTGCCTCTTTAGTGTCTCTTTTTTTAAGAGGCCATGTATCTCTAGTGTCTCCAATAGTTTTTGAAGGCACCTTAAGGATGGCAGTCAGGGTCATCCCTAGGTTTTGAGCCTGTCTGATGCATCAGATGGCGTGGTTTTTTCTGTCTGATGCACCAGAATTTCTTTCAAAACATTTCTGATGAATCAGAAAATTTTAAAATTCAGTTTCTGATTGATTTTTTCAGAGCCCTCCTCATTTCAGTGTTCTGTACTGTTGGAAACATTCAGTTTATGCTTCTGAAGTATCGAGCACTAAAACAAAAGGAGAAGTACACTCACAGCGAAGCAACACCAAAGCGGTTGACTAGGCAACAACAGCAGGAGGTTGAAGCGAAGGTCAAAGGTCAGCTACCTTTGACTTGACAAAGACAGCACGGCGGCAAGGACACTCGTTATTGAGCAGTTACCCGAGTCGTCGCTGTATCGAACCGCAACAGCAGTTACAGTTAAACATTTCGTATTCCTTGTAATCATATATATATCCTTGTATCTCTTATCTTTAATCAATTCATCTTGTTCTCATATTCTAGTACAAGGTGGTTCACTCAACCCACTATTACGCTTCCGCTAAATACATCACTACTCTGAGAGTTTAGTCTTGAACGATCCTGAGGATTTTTTCAGCCCAACATGGTAGGAGAGCCTACAAGACAAAACTCAACTTTGATCAACTTCCTGCAACATCAGAAGTCATGGCAACACAGAAGGAAAGAAGCTCGTCTACTGGATCTCCCGGTACTACTCCTACTCCACCGCCAGCCTCTGGACTGCAGA